AACTGTGTTTAGGCTTTACATTGTGGCCAGGGCCTAGCTGAGAGAGAGATAGGTTGCCATGGTGACAAGCCAGAGGAGGTGGGCGGAGCTTAGGTAAAAAAGGTTTGAAAGCGACAGTTTATTTTCAGTCAGGCGGATGAGACCCTGAGGAGAGTAGCAGAGTCAAGGAGGCTCTGTGGAGTAGTGTAAATTCAGTTAGTTCTTAGGTTTTGTGAATATTATTCCAGCTAGGAAGCTGAAGGTGGAAACTCGTTAGATTGCTTGAGTAGAAAAGAATCTAACAAGAAAGGGTTTCAGGGATCCCAGTGGTGAAAATCTGGAGATCGTTGGTTTGATCCGGTGAAGGACAAACAGTTGTAAATATTCACAATAGGGAACACTGAAATAATAAAGTACCTCACTGTAGAAAGAGTTAAAGGATTGTAACATCGGAAGACTTAATGTAACTCAACCAAGCCATTTTGTATCCATCAAGCTTGTGCCAAGTTCAACAGTTTAATTTTGCAACAATTTACGCTCTGATAACAATAAACCTGTTCTTTTTGTGTTTTAAACTTGCCTCCTTCACTGATTTCCACGTTTGAAGCATTCCACACTACCCAAGGTGCCTCACAACACAGATAAGGATAACCAGAGATCATTTTTACCAATATCACTTATATTATGGTGGCAATTTAAGCTAGAAGTCTCAAATCTTTATTACATCTGTGTGGTGATCCTACTTATTTGGGATTTTACACCATTATTTCATTTTGGAGACTTCCTCACATATTTTGGTGGCAGCAAGTGAACGGTTTTAAATTTTTAGTAACAAGCGGTGGGAGTCACGGCTTCGCAATGTGGATATGCAGACATGCAAAGAATCACTGCAGCGAATCACTGCAAAAATTCCGGTTTTTGTCCTGGCCAGAGAAACTGTGTCCTCCAGACGTTTCATGAAGTATCTGCCACACAAATAAAGTTAATGGGTAGGACCACTTCTGCCCAAGTCAGCACTGCACAATCAAACAGGAACACACACTTTCAAGCCAGGAACAGAACTTTGTCATTATTGACACTTTTTAGAGCCTGACTGTCTGGCCATCTATCCAGATAGATCTTGTGTACTTGTGGCATCAAGCAACAGGGTGCTGTTCCTGGGTTATACCTGCTGTTCCTGATTGCTTGTCTTGCAGATATTTGGCTCAAAACAGCGATATTCCGGCACTTGGAAATCTCACGTTTTTTGCCTTTTGTGGCGACTGCTTCTGCATTTACAGGTAACGGCGTCTGGCCACCCTCCTGTTTGCTGCGGAAGCTCCTGGGAGAAAGGTACTGTCTGGACAGGCCCTTAGTTTCCTAATCAACCTGCTCTTCATTATAATATTCTCGTTCTTGTTCTACAGCTTTGTAATTATGAAGAGGTAAAAATCACCTATTTCTTACTTTTCTACCACACTCCTGCTTCCTTGACTACACATATATATAGCATTAAACTATATCATCATGAGCTCTAAGTTGAGTCTCAATAAGAGAGAGTTTGAGGGTTGATTTGGATTGTGTGAGCATAACATCAACCAGTATATGGTTCCTGTGGAAATTGTTTTTATGATTTTTCTGTGAAAATGGCAAATGTTGAAAATCATTAGAAAAGGAACTTAAATAAAACAAGCTATCAAGCAATGCCACCCACATCTCATCCACCTTACATGCTCCGGGCTGTATTCTTTATAGTTTAACACCTACTGGGCTTACCGCACAGTCATGTTAAGAAGGCAAAGCATCATCTTGACCTCATTTGGCCCCAATGAATTCAACAAACCTGGGTTCAATAAATTTACTGCACAGTGTTTGAAGTTATGAATTGAACTGTGTATCCAGCCAAGATCTAACTTGCTGGATGAGTTGGACGACTTTAATTACATTGCAGGACCGGAAACAGCCAAAACAAACCAGTCCTAGAACCTCAAAACTGTAAAAAAATTGGAAGGGATCACAAGGTGACTATCCTATAGTTCAACCACCTACCAATGCAGGAATCTAAAGCTAGAGCATCCCTAAAACATACCCACCCAACTTCTATTTAAAACACTCTAATGCAGGAAAGTTTGCAACTTCACATTGTCAGAGAGCTCACAAGTTGGGTCTTCCTCGTATTCAAGGGATTTGCTATTTGGGTACACACTTAGAATTTTCCATAGGAAAATGCTAGGGCAATATGTGTTTGAAAAACCTGTAACGAAGGAAGGTTTACAGTTTCATACTATCAAACAGTTCATCATTTGGAGGGTGTTTGTCATATTCATGCATAATCTCCATTCCTTTCTTATAATTAGAATACAAACAGGAAAACCCTAGGGCATTCTCCATATTTACAGCAAAGAAGTCTAAATATTTCACCATACTATAGACCCATAGGCTGTCATTGAACAGAGCCGTGACAGTAACAGTAGTATCAAACTTCTATAACTGTGAAATGTTGACTCACTTCTCAGCCTTCGCTCTCTTGGCTTGACCTCCCCTGAACACATTTTCCTGCTTGTCCTTCTGAAACCGTGATGCCGAGAACCAGATATAGGTGAGATGTGACTTCAACAGAACAAAAGGGTACAATGACTTCAGTTGATGTGGACACTGTCCAGTGGATGCTAAAACTGCATTAGGTTTTTTTCCTGCCACATCACATTATTAATTCATGTTTTTCTTGTGCTCTTTGGAGATGCTAGATCCTTTTCACACGCACTACTTCTGTCAAACCAGGTGTCAACCATTCTATATTTATTAATTTGATTTTTCCCTACTAAAACGTGGAAGCTTATATTCATCACTGTTGAAAATCTTTGTGTTTGTTAAGAAACCAGTTCTTCTATCTGTGGTGGTCAACTTGAATCCGTTTTTTGGAGCAATTGACTTTTGTTATCTGAAAATTTGAACAGCATTCTCTCGCTAATTTCATCCAAGGCCATATAATGCAGTTTGAAATATGGCCAGTGTAGACTCATATAGTGCAATTTAATTCAATTAAACTGCCTTATCTGAGTCTACACCAGATATGGACAAACTTGGGCCCTCCAGGTGTTTTGGACTTCAACTCCCACAATTCCTAACAGCATATCAGCTGTTAGGAATTGTGGGAGTTGAAGTCCAAAACACCTGGAGGGCCCAAGTTTGCCCATGCCTGGTGTAGACTCAGATAAGGCAGTTTGCAACTGCATTACATGGCAGTGTAAATGAGGCCCAACTTATTCACAACACGGTACCCAAGAAAGAGCCCTATGGCACCCAGTATCTCCACTATCTAATACAGTGAGAAACCATCAGCCCCTCAGATGACTACAAACCCCAATAGCAAGGGCATTGTAAAATTGACCAACTCACCAGGAAGAATTAATATGAAGGACTAAATTGTACCAAAATCAGTATATACCACACTCAAAGCAATACCCTTATTTAACAAGTTTAACAAGCACACACACGCACATTTGATCAGCCTGGCATGACTTGTTTTTGAGAGAGCCTTGCTGGCTCTTACTAATCTGAGCCTCCCTTGCTTAAGGCTCACAGAGTTGACTAAATGATCTGTTCTAGAACCTTTCCTATTATGAATGTCACGTTGGCTTTTCTGTATTGCTCACATTCCCCTCCTTCCTCTTTTTGAGTAAGGGGAACTCCTTATGCCCGAGAGTTGCTGCAAAGTAAAATAAGATTGCACCACGAACTTAGCCATAAAATACATTTCAGCTAAGTTTGGTTCCAAACTTAGGCTGTTAGGAATTGTGGGAGTTGAGGTCCAAAACACCTGGAGGGCCCAAGTTTGCCCATGTCTGTGCTAGATTCTTCTTCTTGAGGGCAGAGAAATTGAGCTCTGGGCCCAAGGGCTGACTGATAGTAACAGTCCCAAAGAAAAGACATAATCCTGCCATCAAGCTGCTGTGCGGCTTGTTTCTCACATTCAGAAAATATGAATTAACTTCTCCTTCACCCTTTAGTCTTAGCCCACCACATGAGGTTTAGCTATTAAATGAGAACCAAATGAAACCTGCCTACATGTACCAAAAGGTTAATAATACACATCAGCAGTGGGCAGATTGTAAGGTCATGCACAATTGAAGTAAACAGTTGTTGGAAATCATGAGGCGATGTCCAAGTAGCAAAAAAGCCAATTTATTAGATCATTTCCCAATAAAATTGTGGGCAGAAATGTGAGGCCCAGTATAATAATGCACCAGAGGCTTACGGTGAGGGGAACTAGTATGTGAAGATAGGCAATCAAGGGCACATCCACACTGTAGAGTTAATACAATTTGGGTTGCTGTGAGTTTTCCGAGCTGTATGGCCAGGTTCCAGAAGCATTCTCTCCTGACATTTCACCCACATCTATGTCAGGCATCCTCAGAGTTATGAGGTCTGTTGGAAACTGGGCAAGTGGTCAATGGGCAAGTGGTCAAGGTTGATCAATGCTAATCAACCTGGCCAATTGCAACATTCACACTCGCCTCAGGCAGACAAGAGTCCTTTCTCTCACCCTGGACATTATTCCACAGATATGTAAACCCAACAGGCCTCTCAACCTCTGAGGACACCTGCCATGCTTCTGGAACATGGCCATACAGCCTAGATGATTTCCACTCCGGTGGGAAGCTTCCCGTCGACAAGATGAAGTACCATAGGGTGTGCTTTTTTTGGATTTTGTAAAATAAAAGGTCTTCAAGCCACGGATACAGAATCCGTGGATACAGAGCCCGGCTGTACCACCCGAACTTCTTCTCAGACAGACACAGAAGAGGTCATTCCAGGCATGGGCCAACTTGGGCCTTCCTCCAGGTGTTTTGGACTTCAACTCCCACAATTCCTAACAGCCGGTGTGAGAGTTGAAGTCCAAAACACCTGGAGGAAGGCCCAAGTTGGCCCATGCCTGGGTCATTCCATCTTCCTCCCTCCCCCCCCCTCCGAGGAGTGGGTGTGCCTTTCCAGCGGAGTCCCCGCCCACCTCCTCGTGGCGAGGGGAGGGGGAGCGCGGGGTTGGCGCAGTACGCCTGCGCAGTGGGCGCGAGACCCTAACCGGCAGGCAGGTTGCCGTTGGTGGCTCCGCCATCAGGCTCGGCGGCAGTCGCTGAGAGGAAAGGCAAGGCGACGGAGGCTCGCTCGGCGCCCAAGCGTGGCCTGGCTGACTGACTGACTGAGGGGAAGCGGGCCAGTCTCCATGGAGCTGCCGTTCCTGCCTCCGCCGCAGCCGCTGGCCTGGGGCTGAGGAGGCCGCGCTCGGTGGAGAAACAGAGAAACAAAGCCCCGGTGCTGCTTGGTGGCCGCCGCCCGCTGCCTGCCTCCTTGGCTGAAATTCAGGCGCCGCCGGAGCAGGGCCCTTCCTTCCTTCCTTCCTTCCGCCCTTCCTTGGGCATTTGGAGCCCGATTCGGCGCCAGTTGTCCCTCCCTTGGAATCAGGATCCGCATCCTCGCCTGCCTTCCAGCTGCGCCCCTTGTCATCGACGCTCTCGCTGGTTTTCCACCTTTGTTTTGAAGCGCTTCCCTCTCTCCTCTCCTCCATCGCCACCAGCTCCTCCTTCCCAAGGGCCAAGATGCCTTTTCTCTCTCCCCATGTGGGGGCTGTCACTCGCCTTTGACGCTGGCCTGGAAGAATATGCGTTTCTGCCCCCCATCAGCCTAGATTCAGGAGAGCTCTATTTTGGCGGTGGCGGCAAGAGCGGTTTTCCAGGCTGAAAAATGATCCTGAAGTGGGTTTTGCCTTACTGGACCTGTCTCTCCTCCGTGCCCATTTTGGTCGTCTTGAACTGTTACGCTCTGCTTGCCAGCGCAGATAATACCAACCAGGCGTATTACACCGCTTTCCTCAATGTGACTGTCTTGAATCCAGAGCGTGCTGCTTTCCTCATACGGGGTCGCTATGGGCAGGATTCGCCCAAAAGAGGGGTCACGGGCCTGCTGCTGGCTCCTTTGCCCATCAATGGAGGTAAGGCTCCTCTCTGCCTCGTCCTTCTGTGTCCAAGGCCCCTTCCACACAGCAGAATAAAAGCCCACATTATCTGCTTTGAACTGGAATATATATGACAGTGTGAACTCAGTGCCCTTCCATGGAGCCCTATGTCCCAGAATATCATGGCAGAAAATCCCACAATATCTGCTTTGAACTGGGATAATATGGGATTTTCTGCCTTGATATTCTGGGATATAAGGCTGTGTGGAAGGGCCCTCGGATAACTCAGTTCAAAGCCGATATTGTGGCCTTTTCTGCCTTAATGTTCTGGGTCATATGGCTGTGTGGAAGGGCCCTCAGATAACTCAGTTCAAAGCAGATATTGGGGCATTTTTGCCTTGATATTCTGGGATATAGAGCTGTGTGGAAGGGCTCTCAATAACTCAGTTCAAAGCAGATATTGAGACATTTTCTGCCTTGATATTCTGGGATATAGGGCTGTGTGGAAGGGCCCTCAGATAACTCAGTTCAAAGCAGATATTGGGGCATTTTCTGCCTTGATATTCTGGGATATAGGGCTGTGTGGAAGGGCTCTCAGATAACTCAGTTCAAAGGAGAAATTGTGGCGTTTTCTGCCTTGATATTCTGGGATATAGGGCTGTGTGGAAGGGCCCTCGGATAACTCAGTTCAAAGCAGATATTGTGCTATTTCTGCCTTGATGTTCTGGGATATAGGGCTGTGTGGAAGGGCCCTCAGATAACTCAGTTCAAAGCAGATATTGGGGCATTTTCTGCCTTGATGTTCAGGGTTATATGGCCATGTGGAAGGACCCTCAGATAACTCAGGGCCCTTCCACACAGCCCTATATCCCAGAATATCAAGGCAGAAAATCCCACATTATCTCAGTTTGGACTCAGATAATGCAGTTCAAAGCAGATATTGTGGGATTTTCTGTCTTGATATTCTGGGCTATATGGCTGAGTGGAAGGGCCCTCAGTGCCCCCGCTGGGCTATATAGATTCTAATTAGTTTGCAGGAAATGACAGAAACATTCTTCACTCCAAATGTTGAGGGCTCAGGGCAGGTTTTGTGTTTTTGTAGGTCACTTGTAAGGATGGAAACGAAAATGCTGTGGCACCTTTTGAGTGCTGACTATGAATACGATCAAGGGTTGTTTTGCCCTTGACACCTTTTAAGGAGAGACATCAAATGTATGAATGGTTAGAAACATATGCATCCTATTCTTAGATATTTCTAAGGTGTGTTGCAGAGGAATCAACAAAGGTTCTTATAGCTTTCGACATCTTTCATGGCTGGAATCACTGGGTTGCTGTGAGGTTTTTTTGCTGTATGGCCATGATCCAGAAGCATTCTCCCCAGATTTTTCACCCACATCTATGGCAGGCATCCTCAGAGATTGATCCCTCAACCTTTGAGGATGCCTGCCATAGATGTGGAGTGAAACATCAGGAGAAATTGCTTCTGGAACATGGCCATACAGCCTGAAAAACTTTCAGCAACCCAGTTCTTAGTTATTTAATGGTTAACAAATGTCTTTGGGTGTAAACTGTATCATTCCTATCAGACAGCTGGGCTGACTTGAAGCTACCTGTCAAATTTACCCCCAAAGGCCTGGTTTGGCATGCTGACATAATGATGTATGACAATATGGTGAACATTCAGGGCCGTTGAAGAGAATATTTAATTTAGTCCCTCACAACCTATCAAGTGCTGCGCCATATTGTCTTTCCTTTACCAAAAAGGCATTTGCTGAATATTATTTCAAAGAATGTAAAGTTTCATACTAATATCTTGTTTATTTAATATTTGTTGGTCTTGTACTATTAGTGGTTGAGTCAAACTAAGGATCACATATAATCTGTCTGTTGAATTTTATTGTCATTGGGTTGGTGTGAGTTTTCTGACCTGTATGGCTATGCTCCAGAAGCATTCTCTTCTGACATTTCACCCATATCTATGGCAGGCATCCACAGAGGTTGAGATGTCTGTTGGAAACTGGGCAAGTGAGGTTTAAATATTCGTGGAACGTCCATGGTGGGAGAAAGAACTCTTGTCTGCTTGAGACAGGTGTGAATGTTGCAATTGGCCACCTTTATTATCATTTGATGGCCTTGCAGCTTCAAAGCCTGGCTGGTTACTGGATTGTCATTTGTGATCTTGGGAATGGAAAAGCCTTCAAAGAAAGAGAAATCTCCTTTGGAAGTGCTGTTTTGAACAACCTCCAAGACTACAGTGTTCAAATATGTACTTTTTCTCATCACACACAGTGGTCTAATGAGAAATGATTGATTTGTGAAGTATTATTTCCTCAAATATTCAACTGTCATGCTTATATAGTTTCCAAATATTCCATCATAGTTATTGTTATGGGTATTAAGTTGAAATTATCTGGGAAATTAAGGAAGTTTTGAGTTGCTTTATATTTATAAAATATCTTTAGATTCTCATGTGTCTGCCATGTAAATAAAAGCAAAATCTGAAAAAGCAAAATCAATAAAAGTACCACAGAGGCATTTTTATAAACTCATATTCTGAATATCTCTGTAAAGTTTTGAAGAGGGGCAGAAAAAGAGCCATATGAGAGTAGTCTAGGATGCACTAATTTGTCTGTTTCAAGTTTATAACAGAGAAGTATCATTACCACAAAAGATTATACCTGTGTTCAGTAGAGGCAGCGTAGCATTAATTGAGTTCAACATTCAGTTTTAATTTCTTCTTTTTTGAGATAGGACTTAGATGTCTCCAGTAGTAAGTACATCCAAGTTAAATGTATCCAAGACTTGTTAGAAACATTTTATTTGAATATTTCGATCTTTCAGAACTTCTGGATTACCATCAGAACTGATATTCAAAATGGCTTAAACCAGTATTACGACATAAAATAACCAATTCAACATAAAACTTTAGCAAAATAATTAACTGCTCATTTCAAATTGCTTTCACCTGGTGTCTACAGTCATGATATAATGACAGTTACTCTCAAGAGAATGAACTTTCCAAAGCTATGGTAGAGTCACAGAGAAAATGCTGTTCCTCTCATCATGTTGTTTTTCATGAAATAAGAGTGATGGAAGATAGTCTTACTTGTAAAAGAGGTACTTCTAAAGATTGCTGGGCCTACATTATTTGGGATGTTTCAGATAATAGCCACCCCTTATAGTCTGTTAGAAAACTGTAACTTAAGCTAGCTGAGAGAAAAATTGTGCAATATGTAGAGTCAACCCTATATCAGTTAAACTGAAATTGCTGCATCTTTCCCCATTATAGTTTGGATAATGAAGATAAGGTTCTTGAATCTGAAGCCTGTATCCACAGCATAGGTGGTGGTACCAGAAAGAAAAAGATCTGTACAACCCCCGCTTGGCTATGAAAGCTCACTGGGTGACCTTGGGGAGGCTACACACTCTCAGCTTCAGAGGAAAGCAAAAGCAGGAGCACCTCTGAACAAATTTTGCCCAGAAAAAAAATGTGCAGGTTATAGATTTACATTGGGGTTGCCAAAAGTTTGGAACAACTTGAAGGGATTGCTAGTGTAGTTCAATAACACTCTGGCTGGAAAGTTATATCCATTGCTACAGGAGTGGATTTTCTCTACTCCTTTGCTCTCTCCAAGCCCCCAATTGTTCCATCCCATCCTTCAGGATCTTAGGGTACAGAAAAGGGTTTTTTTTTCCACACCAGCTGTTCCATTTTGGGGATTGACATGGCTGGATTCCCAATGAACATAAGCAGCTCTCTATATAACGGAGGGATTAGCAACTTGCAGAATGTCACAGTTGGCTTTGTTGACTAGGAGTGTAGAAGATACTGTCTAGCAACATCTAGTAGGTCAAAAATTGCCCAACTTGATATAACCAATGCCAAGCAGTTTCTTCGGCTCTCCAAATAAAACTGAGTCTAGGAATGTTCAGTCTTTAAACCTTATTCCTTGCATTATGGACATCTGTCTAGGACAAACTATTTAACTTACCCCAGCCTCTTTAGATTCTTTTACAAATCTGTTTAATAGTAACTGTTTGTGAATTTAGAGCCTCTTGGATAAATCTCTCTTTTTTAAAAGTGTGCCATTTCCTGAGTGTGCAATATAAAAGGATATCTACTACAAAGTACATTGGAAACAATATTTTCAAAAATATTTTGAATAGAATTTGTGGAGAGATTCATTTAATTAGAATTTTTGTGCAGTTTACTCTGAGATCCGTTTGCATTTTCTTCTTCAAACTCAATTCTTTGGGCTTCTTGTTGTTATTTCCCCTTTTGGTTTTTTCCTTTATACCCTTTGCTATAATAACATATAAGGTGTTTCATTATTAGCTATAGTGAGATACCAGTAATTTATTTCCTTACTTGGGAAAGATTTTTTCAGGCAGAACAAGAATAATTTTAAATGTTTTTGTAAAACTGAAATCCATTCAAAGTAACATCCCTATTTTTTTAAAAAAAATTGAGACGGTGTTTGTACCAATTATTTGTTTGCAGCTGTTATTTTGAATTCAAGCACCTTTTTGCATTCCATAAGTGGTTTTGCTTTCAGCTTGTCAGTATGGTAGTTCATGAAAACCAGTCTCCCAAATCACTGCAGTTTTCAAGTGGTATTGCTGTCTCAGTTCAGTAATGAGGTTATATATTTTCTTGTTGTTGTTGTTGTTGTTGATCTAGATAAGGTAATTTTGATGTTATTTTGTATTGGGTTCATTGTTTGGTAGATCTTATAACAGTAAATGAGAATTATTAAATTTTATGAGGCACATCTTTAATATGTGACGGCATTTGACTTAGTATTTTACAATATGCTTGATTATCTTTTATTACGTTTTTCTTAATCTTTACAATTGCATCTGGTGTTCCTTTGACTTCAGACACTCATTTTATGTATGAGTTTTAAAAAGGGATTCCCAACAGTGATTAAATTCTTCTTGGTCAGATAATTCTTTAACACAGAAAGGACATTCTACACATTACTGTTTTGTATGCTTCTGTTGTGAAATATAGAATTCAGACTTCTGTATCCTCA